CCTGACTGCGGTGAAGAAGACACGTGGGGACGTCCCTGACCTCCTGCCTGAACCAGAGCCGACCAGACAACTGTCAGACTTTGAAAACTCATACAACTACGTTTGTACGTCAGTCATTGAACGCAGCATTTAATGCAGCCAAACACTGGGTGTGTGTGGAGGGGGTGGGGGTCATAAAAAGCAGATGTGTGTTCCAGTTGATTAATTATTCTCCCCCGTGTTCTCTGAATCATCATCTTCTTCCTCCTCTTCCTCCTCTTCTTCTTCCTCTTCCTCTTCTTCTTCTTCTTCTTCTTCTTCCTCTTCTTCTTCCTCTTCTTCTTCCTCTTCTGTCTCCCAGTGTCCAGACTGGCCAGCATGGACCAGGCCATCCACAAGCTGAACGTTGGTCACTACACCCTGGATGTGAAAGTCAGTCAGCTGATGGACCGTCTGACCAGGATAGATGGTGAGGGTCACATGACTCTCTGCCACACACACACACACACACACACACACTTTATTCTAACGATGTCTCTCATCTGGACCACGGCAGCTAAGGTCGGGGAGCTGGAGGACAACATCAGGGACGTCTACCAGCACAGCAAAGACAACCGCAAGGAGGTCGGAAGACTGGAAGGTACACACCCCTCACACACACCCCTCACACACACCCCTCACACACACACCCCTCTCACACACACCTCTCACACACACAGATTAATAATATTAAGGACAGGTTCCAGTTGGACTCAATCCCATGGCAGTGGGTCAAAGGTCAGGTACCGTCCTGGTCCAAACCAGTTGACCCCTCCTGACCTCAGGGTGTCGGTGACTCAGTACTGCAGTTTTCTTCCTGTGTTTCCTAGGTTGTCACAAAGGTCGCAGGTTGGGATACAAGTGTTACCTGGTCTACAACAACTTTGAGGATTACGCCGGAGCATCCAGGAAGTGTCTGGAACGCGGCGGCCGTATGGCGATGCCCCGGGACCGCAAGGAACAGGAGGCGTTGGCCGACTACGTCAAGTCCTTCTTCCACCCGGGGAACTGGCCCGTGTGGCTGGGCGTCAACGACCTGCGCTCCGAGGGTCTGTACCTGTTCGACGACGGCACGCAGGTCTCCTACTTCCAGTGGCGCAGGCACTTCCTCTCCAGTCAGCCTGACGGAGGGAAGCGGGAGAACTGCGTGGCCATGTCGTCAGACGACGGGGACTGGTGGGACCACTACTGCGACCGGAACATGAACTACGTCTGCGAGTTCGACGACAGGGTGTCACTTTGAAAACAGACTTCTTTACGCAGCCGGCTCCTTACGTGATTTTTTTTTTTTTTAATTTCAACCGATGACAATTGTTACGCTTTTGTATCGATTTTTAACCGAGTCACGATGCATCGTCAGATCCCTGTCCAACACTGGGCCGGAAGACAATAATTTAATGTTACGTCGTTTTGTCCTTGTTCTTCATTTTCTATTTAAAAAACACATGGATTAGTTGTTTCTCTCTCTCTTTTTAAAATTTTTTTAAATATAAAATTTCTTTGTGATGAAATTTTAGAATGATTTGCATATTAACTACGGACAGAACGTCATCAGATTACAGAATGTTACATTTCTTTATATTTGCAAAAACATTTCCAAATCACAAATAATAAAAATAATAATAATAATAATAATGATGATGATGATGATTTTATAAAAGTGAAATTCAGTTGTCGGTCTCACAGCTGAGGAGGTTGGTGTTCATAATCCCTGAAGTCTCGCACAATGGAAATACACAATATAGCATAGAATAGTATATTTCCATCACACAGAAATATATATAAATATAATGAAAGATTTGTAATGTACATAAAACCTCGAGTGTAAATGTTGTTTTTTAAAATAAATCTGAGGTAAAAGTAGACGAGTGTTTGTCACTTCCTGTTCCATCAGCTGCAAACTGACTTTTTCAAAGACCAAAAATGTTAGTTTGAAAACAAAAGCACTGAAGTTCTGTTGGAGTGAGACGAGAGTTAGCTCGACTAGCTTAGCATCAAACTAAAGCCTAAAAAGATGAAGAAATGAGAAGAAGAAGAAAAGAAGAAAAGACCTACAGTATAATTGAATTTTAACTTCGTAATGATGTCATTTATAAAAAGGTCACCGTGACTTGACCCCGGTGACACCGTGAAGACGATCGGTGGTCTTCGCTGCACGTTTTTCCAACATCGGTCACACCTCATCGTGGAGTCACGAGCGAGAGGCGTGACGTCATTAAACGCGGGACGAAGACGCAGCCCTTTCTTCTTCTGTGGTGTCAGCGAGGTCAGCGTCTCCTTCACAGTCACCTCATAACGACCTGGAGTCTGCGGCGTCCACAGCTTCCAGGACGTCGTCCACGGTCGGCCTGTCTAACGGCGTTTTGGACGGATGAGAGAGGAGCACCTTCCCCGCTTCATCCAGCACAAAGTTCCCACCCATCTGAACAAAGTACGGACATATTTCTGTTCTGCTGTGACGTCAACAAACACTGACCATCAAACCCTCCCGTCAAATCACAACATCTGTGAAAAATCCCTCAGGATGAACTGCTTCAGATCTGCACGTTAAATACAGGCTTTTCCAGGACTTTCAAGGTCCGTCACCAAGCTTTTCAGGGACATTTTCAAGGTTTTAAGCAGGTCAATTTTGTTTGTTTTTTTGTGTTTTATTTTGGATTAGGTGGTAAATAAAACAGGTGAGAAACACTGACCTCTACCTGCTGTTATTGGTATTTGTATTTTGTATGACCATGCTGTTATTGGTATTTGTATTTTGTATAACCAATATACATAAAAATATATATATATATTTGTCATATAAGGGAATATTGATTTATCAATTAATCATGATTATTCACATTTAATGCGGTCATTATTAAAGTCAAACATAACCGTTTCGTGGTCTGTACCTGGTAGATGTCCCCCTGCAGGTCAGATGGGAAGTCAGGGAAGTCCACGCCCACAGTTTTGTACTCGGAGTAGTTCAGTAGGAAACTGAACTTAATCACTTTGGCGTAAGACGAGCCGAGACCCAACGTCCTGTAGGTCTGTGGACAGAGGGGTCACGGTCAGGGATTATCCTTTCAACTAAACCAGTGGTTCCAAAAGAGGGGGCGGGCCCTTTCTAGGGCCCGTAGAGCCCTGAACACAAGCACACACACACACACTTCCACACACTCCTGGTTCTACTGGATGTGGATCAGCTGACCTGGCTCTGTGGATCCAGCAGCATGTCGAAGCTGCAGCCAGTCTGCTGCAGCCACAGCTCAGCTCCTTCCCGACGCCCGAAACAAACCACCAAGACCCGCAGAGACCGAGCCTCGAAGTCAGCCTGCGCAGAGACGGAAGAAAGAGTTCAGCTTTCTTTCTTTTCTTTTTTTTACTAAAACTTAGTTGAACCTGTGTCCTTATTGGCTGTGACACAAGACCACTGACCACTGACCACATCTTAATAAACACAAGTATCTTTTTTCATAACTTTTTAAAACCTATTTCATTGGAATTAAAAACCAAAAATGGTAATAAAATAATTTTATTCTTTTTTATGTTTTTAATAAAAATTCTGTTAATTTAAAAAACAAATCCTCTTCTTCTGTGTCACCGATCCTCCTCCGTGACCTGAAGTAACCTCTGGGATTACTGCTGCAGTACGACGTTGAAATGTAAACTGACCTTTCTGACCTCCAGCTCGGCCACGTGGTCTCGTCAGGGCAGTCATCCAAAATGTCTGAGCAGGACCAGCAGCAGCTTCTGACCCCGACCCAGGTACTGACCCAGGGTCACGCCCCTGTGATCCAGGACATGACAAGATCACATCACTGAGGACAATCTGTGTGTGTGTGTGTGTGTGTGTGTGAGCTCACTTTCCACTGCGGACATCAGTGAACCTGGTGTCAGGACTCAGACTGTCCCCCATCCTGGTTCCTGTGTGTGTCGTCTGCAGACCTGTGTCCACGTTCTCCAGGAAGGAGTCCCACTCCGTCTGAACACAGACACAGACACAGAGTTTCGTCGTCAAGGTTCTAAATCTTTAACTACATTAAGACTTGACGCTAAATTAAGGTTTCGTCGTCAAGGTTCTAAATCTTTAATTACAGTACGACTTGACGCTAAATTAAGACTCTTCTTCTTAAATTCTAAGACATCACAGTCTCAGACTCTGCTGCTGTTCCACCTGAACATCAGGTTACTAACATTGGATCTACATTTGGAGTCACCAGAGAAGAAAGAAAAGAAAAAGAAAATGAACCAACACCAGGAATATTTGACTGGGAATTGGTGATTAAAAAAAATACAATACAATCAATATTTATTACACCCCTAAAAGTCAAAGACTAATTAAATCTGATCAAACTAAGTCCAGACAGTTCAAAGAAACGCTGACCTCCAGCTCCAGCAGCTCGTCCACCTGCTCTCTCACTGCAGCGTGGCTGTAAAAAAACAAAACAAAACAACACAGGACGCCATTAAAGTCTGGACATCTCCAGCTCAGTGTGGAGACCAACGAGGCTCATTAATGCTGCTTCGTTAATTATTGGTCCAATAACTCACTGAACTCAGAACTCACTGATAAAACTTCTGCCAGAGAGCTTCTGCGTCACTCTTCTTCTTCACACCGATGCTGTCAGAGGAAAAATAAAATTTACAAATAGTATGATATCGACATTTTAGTTTCATTTTCCTCCAAAAAAACATTTGTCTGTCTCACCTGGTGTAAAAGTCTGTTCCTACCGCCATCAGGCCAAACAAATTGCTGATTTTCTGTGGAACCAGATTCTCCAGGGAGACTGAGTGAGAACAGAAGTCTGAGTTATGGTTTAAGATTTCAGTTACTGTATATGTGTGTATGTATATCAGGAATAAAGAAAAACATATTTTGCTAATATATGTATTTTGTCATCAATTTATTGTTTCCTTTAATTGGACTACATTGACGGAAATTTAACAACTTAGCAAAACTCACTTACTGCTGCTTTGAGCAGCGTAAATTTAGTAGTAATATTCATTCAAAAACAAAACAAAAACAACAACATTTTCTACAGAACAGTTACTTATTGTGAATAAGTGATGCCAAAACAACATGGTATCATTTTGGTGATAAAAAAAAAGAAAAACAAGTGGACATAATTTTAATGACAATAACTGACCAACTGTAAAACATCACGCTAATAAATAATTAAATATAATAAATATATGCTTTAATATAAATTCGTCTCCAATTCGGAGCAGACGTTTTGTCTCCACGGTCCATATGAACACGGTGTGAACACCAAACACACTTGATCAATATTATTGTTATTATTACAAATTAAAGGTGTAATTTATATGTCGTTTGTGCCGAATTATTTAGACGGCATCAAAAATCCCACTCGCTTTATAACATTTCTAAAAATCAATTTCCATTTCCTTCAACAGAGACTTAAATCTTAAATGGTCAGGATTTTACAGGAGACCCGGAAGTAACCACTTCCTACCTGCTGCTTCCTGTTTGGCGGTCTGCAGGAGAACTTTGCTCTGGTTGACCAGCAGAGTCAAAGCACTGGTCAGAGTTTCTGCTGAAACGTCCACGTTCTCAGCCATGGCCAATATTTCTGTCACACACTGACACCAACACTCTGATCGACCAGGCAGCACAATGTGCTATGTTTATATCACGTGTGATGACGAGTGGCCGAAGGGTGATGACGCGCTTTATCGAGGCTCCTCCCACTTCCGGTATTTAACTGAGCCGTTTATTTTTTAATAGAGATTGTTAACGGATTTTTGTGTGAATTTATGAGAATAAAGTTGTTAAATCTTAAGTATAAAATTATATATTTATGTAAATTAAGTCGTTATTTCACTAAAATAAAACTATTTTAAGAGTTTATTCTAATATTTTGTTTGGTTTTATTTATGAAATAACGGTTTTTAGACCGATGAACCAAAATAAATGAATCAACAGAGACGCTGCGATGTCATCATCAACCACTTTTATTCACTGTCTCGACTAAATGAAAAAAAGTTCCTAAGACTCGGAAGTTGTGCTCTCCTCGCTCTGCAGCACTGCCGCTGGTGATGACTGGACAGAAGACGGTGTAACACATGGTGTAAAACATGAATGACTGGACAGAAGACGGTGTAACACACGGTGTAAAAACATGAGCACGAGGGATGGGGACAATTAGCCAGAGGTCAATTCAACACAGACTCACTGAAAAGACTCGACCAATGACCTTGTGCTTACGCTCACATGGACCAGTCCGGTAGCTGCACTGACGTGTCTGTGTGATCACTGACTATTTCAAGAAATTGTAAACATTTTAACACATTATTTCATTTCTTTTCCACAAGCACCATTTCTTTTTTATTTATTTATATTTCTCCTCATGTCATTTTAGTCATTAAGACAAGTTGAGTTATTATAGAGATAATTATTATCACGTAGTCTGTGTGGTGAGTTTGGAGTCAAATTTTTTCTCCAGGGTTCAGTCAAATTTGCTTTGAATAAAGACAAAATAAACAAGATAAAAAAAAAAGACAAGTCTTCCAGGTTGTCATATTTAAAGTGGTATAAAAGATGGCTTTGTCGTTGTTGTTCTTTTTTATTTCTTATTGGTCAGACTGCTTCAGATACAGAAAATTTCAAAATCACAAAAATTATATTTGAGCACCATTGTAAGATTTTAAAGAACTCAATTTTCTTAATACTTTTCTTTGATAGGATTCCTGTTTTATTCTGTCTGAACCAATAACTAAGGGATTTTCAGCCAAATTAACTCAAATCATTTCCTTGACAGAACTCAACGTCCTCCTGAACCAGTGAACACGTCAACATAAAACCACTTCAGTGCTTGTCAGTCAGTGGTGACAATAATAATAATAATAATAATGTTAAAAATAAAATTAAATAAACTGCTTCAAGTATCACATGTGGAGTCAATAGCCCTGAAGGTTTTAGTTTCATCTTTAAAAAAAAAAAAAAACAACCTCACTTCCTTCTTTGATGCAGTGTGCAAAATAATTTTTAAAAAAATGGTGAGAAATTTAGATCAATTCAACAAAGATCCAGCGTAGAGCCAAATAAAGTGTGTGATTGTTCGCATCGGCCTTTTTAGAAAACAATTTTTTGTGCTTTGACGTCTGAGCAGCAGAGAAAGAACGGAGGACGTTCAGAACCACAGGATCAGCCCTGGAGCCCAGACAGAGCGGAAAAACCCAGATTAAATATCAGCTGACGAGCCAGCTCTGTGGAGTTGATATAAACAATGATTGTCCTGACGGTTACAGACTCCAGTGAAGGATAATATTTCAACGAGTTGATATAAACAATGATTGTCCTGATGGTTACAGACTCCAGTGAAGAAGTAGAGTATGACAGGGAATAAAACAAATCTGAGCAGATCAACTTGCAGGTTGTTTAAGGTTATTTTAATTTTAAGAATTTCTAAGAAATCTACAAATCTGAAGTCCATGACTTTAACATCAGACAATAGTCTGAATGGTTTTTGTTTTTGTTTGTTTTTTTCCGGTTGTGTCTGGGTTGCAGGACTAATTCCCTGCCGTGGTTCTGTCCAGAGCAGAACCTCTGGTTATTAAGACTCTGTTCAACTGTCTTCCCTGTGGTTTTGGAGGTTCTGTTAAGACTTCTTTGGACAGTGTGAAGACGAGTCCGTGTTGAGAACCTCGATCATGGTTCTGGTGGACGGGAAGGTCTCCGCTACAGATGGAAGACTCTGGTACCAGCCCGGTAGACTGTGGGGGAAGGAGAGCGAGGTGTTAGCTGGATGAGACCACAGGCCTGGACTGAGAACTCTTCAAGCCCAGCTTAGGCTCAGATTCCATCACAATGTATCAAAGTTGAAAGGTCAAAGACTCCTAGTCAAACCAAAGGTCATTATTAGGTCAACCCATAGTCCACCGACCTCTTCAGGTTCATCCAGCCCTTCGCTGTTTTACTGAAGCCGTCTGGACTGGACGTGGTCATGGCTTCGAAATCCACCAGCTGACACCCAGCCACCGCCGAGCACGGACAAGAGAAGAAGAAGCAGAAACAGTCACATGACTGAGACACATCTTTAACGTGGTATACCTTTGTAGAGGCAGCAGGGGGCGCTGAGTTCCCTCCTCACCTTTCCTTTAGGGATCCGACCTACGACCTCCTTCCCACTGGCCATCAGCGCTCCCATCACCACTGAGTAGGCCACCACACTGGGAACCAACAGAACATGGACACTGTCTTAAAATCATACTGTGGCTCAGTTGCTGTTTCGGTGTTAACCTTTGTTAACCTGAAAGGGCCAATCAGAACTGATTCTTTCAGGTAAATTAGAGGAACAAATAAGAGCCAATCAGAGTTCTGGATGTTGGCTGGAAAGTGTTTTTTTTTTTGTTAGCCTCGTTGAAAGCATGTTCAAATAAACTTTCAAATTTGAAATCAAACCAAAACCCCACAACATTCTGAAGGATTTAGGTTTGACCCCAAACGGCAGTATCCCCGCCCCACCCACCTGGTCGGCCAATCAGGAATGATATGAACAAAATGTTCCTGTACACTGGAAAAAATTCAACTGGCACTAGTTTGAACCAGTAGACATGACAACATTAGATTCACTTTATACCTCTGTGTGAGGACGCTACCACTACAGTCACCAGTCCAGGAGTTTGGTGACGTAGATCATTTATGTACAAAATTAAACAACAATTCCACTGTGTGAACTTTACCTGGATCCTCTGGAGAGAGGCATGAGATTACAGAAGTAATAAATCAGGGAGAGGATGACGTTGCACAGGGCATCTGCATCCTGACAGACACACACACACAGACACACACCAAAAAGAAACACAGTGTCATCAGTTTCTGTCACAGAGTAACATGATTCTTCAGAAATGTTTTATCCAGACGTGACAAAGTGCAGACCTCATAAAACGAGCCAAGAGTCTGAAAAAAGTAATGATTGAAGTGGATTATAGTGTTCCCCTCACACACTCATGTCTGCTGGTCTTAACAAGTTTATTCTGTACAAACTGTCATAGAAGTTAAAAAGATTTTTTAACTGTATTAATACTGAAAATGAGCAGCAGAGAAGACGTTGGTGAAGAAACGTTCCTCTGACTCTGGCCTGCAGTTCACGCTCTGTTCAAATTAGCCGTGTAAGAAAATATTGATACACTGAATCAAGATACAGTATTTCGTTTCATGATGTTCATCTAGTAATTCCAAATGTAGATCCCTCTGTTCCAATGTCAGTAACCTGATGTTAAGATGGAACAGCGTTGAGTCTTTACTATTATTATTATGACTGTTTTACTACAGTTACATTGTTTGCATTGTGACTGTAGTATCACAGTATATCGCAATACATCGTATTATTGTCTCTGTATCCTGATTCATCTCAAATTGCCAGATTCCTGTCGATACACACCGCTAGTTCAAATGTCATGAAACCTCACCCCCAGCTCAGCAGACAGCATCAGCGCCTTCCCTTTAGCAGTGAGGTCTTTGTAGATGGACTCGATCTCCGTCTGGTACTGCTGCGTCCGCTCCTCTGTGGTCTGGGTCTCCACGGAGAACAACATGTTTCCCACTCTGTAACGGGGACAGAAACGCCGTGAGTGAGGGTCTTGTAAGACGGTGTTGTGAGACATTTTCTCTGTTCTGACTGGAAACCAGTGAAGCCTCCTGCCTGTCTCCAGTGATGGTGATGGTGAAGCCGTCGTATTCTTTCCCAGGATCCTTCAGGCTGGGCACTTTGGAGTTGACCGTGAAGCCATCTCTGGTTTTACTGTTGAACTGCTTCAGGAAATAAATGAATACACACACACACACAGTTTTGTAGATTATTTTTCTTCTCCCTCACACTTTTCCCCAGCTCCAGTTCAACACTGTGACCCAGACTCTCACTCTCTCACATGTATTTGTCCTTCTTACCTTCATGATGGGCAGAAGATCTTCCACTTTGTTGACATTCTCCAGCGCCTGCCGGACTTCTAACAAACCTCTGGGGTTGTAGGCTCTGAGTCAGGGATTTAAACACATAAATAAAATAAGTAGAGAAATTAAAGGGATTCATGTAGATGACAAATACTTCCTTGACGTTTTGTTTACAACGACTATAACTCATAAAAACTACTTCCTAATTAGAACAAAGACTAATTAATATTTCATGATCAAACCCCAAATATACAGCCTTGTCTTTGGTACTGGGTGAGTTCATTTTCACTCATTTCATGTTGTCAAGAAAAAGAAAAAAAAGAGAAGGATTTTACCCATGATACACCAGTATTCTGTCTTTGATAAAGTCCAGGATGTTGTTGAAGTACGCCAGGTACCTGATGTTTATAATCTGCCCTCTGGTGAAATAGGAAAAAAAAAAAAAAAAGAGAAAAATTGGCAATCACAATATTTCAGTTTATCAGTATTTTTCTACATCCCCAGTTTTCTTTAGAGAAGATCAAGAATCTACAGTGGACTCCAGCCTGTTACCTGATGAGGTTGATATGGTTGTTGAAGCCTCGACTCAGACTCCTGGCTGGCATCTGGTCCAACCAGAGGACGGGCTGGTCTGGATCCGCGATCCTGGAAAAGCAACAGTAAATCCACGTTAGTTCTCGTAATACGGAAATCTGATCACTGAAAGTTTAAACCAAAAACCAAGTTCTCATTTTCAGTATTTTAACCTTTACTGAATGGACCTCACAGTCTGGTCTGACATGTTGTGTTCTAACTGTGACACCAGTCTCTCTCTCACCTCCTCCACTTCACTGCTATGTCAAACATGTCTCTCCACTGCATTTGCCTGGTTTTGCCGTTGACCCGTACTTTGGAGTTGCTCCACGTCCGGTGCATGGCCTGCATGACCTCCAGGGTGGCTAAACCCATGGCTGGAGGACAAAGAACAAAGGAATCACACATTTGCTGCTGCAGACGTTTTTTCTTTTCTTTTCTTTTTTTTAAACTACCTCTGTGGATTCTTCTGTTTGGCAAGAATCCAGGAGTGTCGTATTGCATTAGCGCCCCCAGATGGTCGGCTGTACATATCAGTTTCTGAACCTCACTGGTGTAGCTGTCAAAGTTCTGTGGCAGCACGTCCCTGCAGAATTACAGACAGAGGTCAGACAGAAGAGGACAGACTTCTGGGAAACCTCACCGATGAGAATGTTTTATTTCAAGTTTAAGTTTTTTTTAAATTAGACCTCTGGAAAATGAATATTAGAAGTAGATGGTGGCTGAGGATCTGGGTTTCAACCACAGGAACTGTCTGAGCTCTGAGTTCATGAAATGTAGGTAGAAAAGAAATGATGCGGGGATGGAACCTGATGAAACCCAGATTATCCAGACGTCCTGGAAACACTAAACTAACGTTGATATTTACCACCAAACAGGATTAACACTCAGATGAATCCCTGCTTCTCAAACCTACTTGATGTGTGGCTGCAGACCCGGCTGCTCCTCGTAGTCTTCTATCAGGAAAGGCAGGTTCTTGGCCCAGTGGTTCTTAAAGTTCCCTGGCAAATCGTGGTCCACGTTGTATTCTGCTACTGGGATGTCCAGGTGGGAGTGCAGGTATCGAGAATATTCTGGTGAAAGGAAACAAACAAAAATCACCTTAAATTACATCATTTACTTTGTATGGCTGGATATAAGTCTTAGTACTGAGAAAATAAGTTGGAGTAAATCGAGAAAAGTAGTAGTATTTTGAGAATAAAATTAGTAGTATGTGAGAGTTGTAGTATTTTCAGAATCATGTGGTGGTATTATGAGAACACAGTTGTTATATTGTGAGTATAAAGGCATATATTACCAGACTAGAGTCGTGGTATTATAACAATAAAATGCTGATAAAGTCAGAGTTGTAGTACTGCTAGATTAAAGTAGTAGTATCGCAGTGCTAACCTCTGAGGTATTTGACTTTGAGGTATTCAGAGCTGGCCTTCTGCCCCAGCAGGGGGTCGTTCAGCATGACCTTGGTCTGAGCCTTGATGCCCTCGTAGAACTGCCCCATGGCCACGTGGCTCAAGCCCTTCATGTACTGACACACCTCGTTGTAGGGCTCCAGCTGTAGACACCTCTGGAGGAGACAGACGACAGGTGGACAAACGGACAGGATGTCAGACAGGAAGCGTCAAACCCTAATTACTGTTTCTCGTCAGATTTAATTTTTTTTCTACCTTGAAGTTTCCGATGGCCTCGGGCAGAGAGCCGTGGTGGTAGAGCATCATCCCCCGCAGCTGCAGAGACTGGATGTGGTTCTGGTTCAACATGAGAGCCTTCTGGAAGCTCTCCATGGCCGACTCAAAGTCTCCCAGCTCTCTGGACCAAGGAAAGACATTTAAAAAAAAAACAGTAAAGTATTACTATATTTATTTCAAATGGTATTAATACCAAATATGAGTGGGCTGCAGCTGAGTCTGCCTGTCCGTACCTGTAGGCCTGACCCAGACTCTTGTAGGCATCGATGAAGTCTGCCTTTAACTTCAGAGCTTCTTTGAACGTCTCGATGGCTTCCTGAGGAGAACAAGTCCAGCGTCAACACAGTGACGGCAGCACAGAGTTCACAGGACACTGATGCAGGGAACATGTGACAGGGGTCACCAACTATAAAATAAAATAAAATAAAAATAAAATTTGTCTTGGGGGCCGGACACTTGAATAAAATAAAATAAAAAGCACATTATTATTTGACGTGGGCCGGATTTGATGTTTTGGTGAGCCGGATCTGACCTGTGGGCCACCAGTTGATGACCATAAATATATGTTTGGGTTAAAAAATGGAGACTCCAGAGTGTCTTTAGACAAATGAAGAACTCAGAGTGCCTTGAACACACCTTTAGCATCCCTCTGTGGAAGAAGGTGAGGCCTTTGTAAAGCATAGCTATGGGCTGGTTCTTCTTCAGCTCCAGGGACTGCTGGAAGTCCTCCATGGCTGCCACATAGTCCTGGAACGGAGGAACAAACACAGAGATTACAACACAGTGGCCTGGCAGTGAGATCAAACACAGTGAGGTCTCCACACCTCTGAGATGAAGAGCAGCGTCCCCCTGTGTCTGTAGAGGCGAGCCGAGGGCTGCAGCTGGATGGCTTTGGTCAGATCGCCCAGAGCCTCGCTGATACGACCCAGAGGAGACAAGATCTGTGGGTGGAGAGGGCGGAGTCCATCACGTTAGTGTGTGTTAAAAAATGATACACAACGTTTTTCCCAATGAAATTTCAGGTTTAGACTCTGGTTGTGTAGTTGTACTTTAAAATATTATATTCACAGCATAAAATGTGATGATAAAATATGGTAAACATTTGGCTTTTGGAATTGGATTTTGTCTAATTCTCTTATGACCTACTTTTACCAACTGACAAGTTTTTATGTTTCTTAGCTCATCAGGTTTAACATGTTGGTATTTTTTTAGTTAACTTTTAGTTATAAGCAGTATTTGTCAGTTGTTTTACTGTTAGTCATTTGCCTGTATATTTTGCTAAAACTTGGTCGTTATATGGCTAACATTTAGCTCCTTGAATTAGCTATCTCTGGGTTTGCCATTTGGTAACTTTTTAGCTATTTTTTGGATTATTTTTAAGCCGTTTTGCGGCTAGCGACTAGCTAACTTTTAGTCAATTTGGGCTATATTTTTGACAAACTTTCAACAGATTTGGTCCAAACATCTTTTTAAATAACTTAAAGGGAAAAACAGATCATCTGTGTTCACTTCTGAAGGCTGGTTGTACTTTTTACTTGGTCGTTATATGGCTAACATTTAGCACATCTGTGTTCACCTCTGAAGGCTGGTTGTACTTTTTTTTTTTACTTTGGGTTTATACCATAGTGAAGTATTCACATTATGAATTATGAATTACATTGTAAATATTTTCACAGCAAACTCTGACACCTCAAAGCTCACAGGAAAAATCCAGTTAGCATGGTGGTTTTATCCAATAACGATTTTCACTTTAACTGTCGGCAACAACAAATGACTAAAAATAAAATGGACTTTTATTTGACACTGGAGTTTTTCCCAAAGAACAAATAACAGCGAGGAAATGGATTTCAACACTAAACCTGAGCTCAGGGTCAGAACTCACCTCCGCTCTCTGTTCATAAACCTCCGGCCAGTTTGGCTCCAGAGTGATGACTCTGTTGAGTTCGTACAAGGCCAAGTCAGCATTCTTTATGTCCTGGCAGGATGACAAGAATCGGGAGGGGGGTGGGTGTGGGGGGGAGTAGGACAATTACATTCACATTCACCGCCACAGTCACAAAAGGAAAAAGAAAAAAAAGGCCATTTGACCACATTTCATTTGTGGAGGGCAGGCAGGGAGAAGGCTGCCAGGTGAAATCTGCACTGATTGAATTGCACAATGACTCATTGTCACTTGAGACTGTGACTGTCGGCCAAACTGAGCACAGCCATTGTTCAGGGGACAAAAAGAATACCTGAAGCCAGAGGGAATTAGTTTAAAAACAAAAGTGCAGGCGATGCCAACAAAGGTGGAAAAAGGAGCTGCTGTGAAAAGCTTTTGAAGCCACAAAACCAGACATGAGTAAAGGAGAAAGAAAAGGTGATTAAATCAAGAGGTTTTTAATCACTGAAAGTAGGAATTTTTCTTTTCTTTTTAAAGAACAATTACGCACCTGTAAACTCTTCTTCCCGTAAGCTATCCCTCTTCCATAAATGGCACTGACCAGTTCTGGGTCACTCTGTGATCAAAACAACAACAACCATCAAAGTAGGGCTGACTTACGTTCATTTGGTTTAACATGTTAAAGGTCGACGCGCAGACCGACCTGCAGCAGCAGAGAGAAGTGTTTGACGGCCTCGTCGTAGAGTCCGTTTCCTATCAGAACGTAACCTATAGCTGCAGAAGAAAAAGCACCACAATATAAAAAGGTTTAACTCTGCGGAACATGTATGTGGTTTTCTAGTCTCGCAGACTCACCGAGTTCTTCATTTATGTTGTGGCTGCCCACGGGGAAGGGGATTTTCTTCTGCTCTATAAACAACTTGGCCTGATTCTATGAAAGATAAGAGCAAAAAACAACACACACACACAAAACAAATCGACTGTCAGAACAGGAAACTGCAGCATGTTGGTTTGTTACTGTGTCAGACGTGACTGAAGAAACAGAAATGTTGGTGAACAGCTGAAAATTGTTTAATATACAGTATATTGGCGTGCCTATAGTATCGCACGTATCCCCCTTGTATTGTAACATGTATCGTTATCATTTTTTCAAAGTTATGCTGACGGTTGGTGGCAAAAATATAAACACCAACAGTATGCAAATGTGCTAGCATGCAAATGTTGCTGCTGCTAATGCTGCTGCTTCCTGCCCTTCCTAATAAAGCATCAAGATCACTATCAGGACGCTGCCTCAAAATATCTACATCATCAGCCCGCTGCACAGGACCGGTAACATGAGCTGAATCCTAAATATGACCCAGTGCACTACGTGCTTCATAATTCCTCTTTTGGTTCCATTTTACTGTCTTTTCCTACTTTTCAGCCCTCGTTTGTTCCAGTGCCAGCTGAATATTGATTCTGCTGACATCCGCTGCTTCTCACCGAGCTGCAGTGATGTAATAGGCAAATGCAGGGTGTGGCACGTTCACACTTTTGTCATTAGGGATTCAACTGCTCGTACATGACAGATTTAAGCAATGCATTTTTTCTCTCTTACTCACGACTGAATTCATGATGCAACTCTCCTGATCACATGACCACTGAAGTTAGAAGTTATCAGTTTGATCTGAACTTTACTTTTACTTAGTAGTTTATTTGGAATTTTACACCAACATAACTACTGTAAGAAACTAGTGAATACTGAAAAAATATTTTTCACACGTTTTGGATTTGACTTTGCAGAAAACATCACAAAACCCAGCCCAAAATTTAAAATTAAGGAAACTTTCTGAACCTTTCTGAAATCTACCAATTATTTATTTACTTCTAGAGGACGTTTTGCAAATACTGGTTAATCTAGATTGAAGTTCTGGTGTCTGTGTCAAGTGCAGCTCACCAGTATTTTCTCTGCATTCAGAGAGAAGACTGACTCACAGGGCGGGTTACTTCCCTCCTCACAGTCTGGATCCTCTAACTGTAGTATCGAGGACTCTAAAAAAAACACAACGCATGCAGAGTATTATGAGTATTTTTTAAACAACATCATGTTATGTCATCTTAAAAATTGTAAAGCTGTCACAAAACGTCTGTATCTACAAACATTTAGCTAAGTATCCACAGTCTTTGATCACACATTTGTTTACTGCACAAATCTATTCTGTGAGTTTGAAAACTTTCTGCAGCATATTTCCTGCAAAAGATGCAAAGTTGACAGATGCATTTTTACCCAATTGTGTGCAGGTATTTGGACCACTGTGCTGTTGCCTTAGTTTGGACCAAGAAGGGAGAGGAGTAGAACCCAAAGAACACTCTCCCCTGTGTAAACACACTTTAACCTGGTCAAGATCGCTCTCCCACGGACAAAAGTGAACGTTGTTGTCTGTTCTGAAGCGGCCACTGATTTATATGTCACAGAAAACACGTGTACTCTAAACTGAGCACCAGTGTCCGTGACAGATTGTCATTCAATCTGGGAAACACTGGAAAAATACCAAAACATTCGTTCCAGAACTCACGAGTGGAACTCCTTAAAAAGTGTTTAGTTAACGGAACAAGGAATTTTGTTTCGTAAAATAATTTTGTGTTGATAACAATAAAAAAAATCCTAAATTATATGTACGGAAGTAGAACGGAAAGTAAAACGTCATTTTGGTGACATGCTAACAAATAGACCTCAACTGTCCTGCAAAACAGTGGAAACTTTATTCACCCAATAAATGAATACATTCTGAATAAATCATTTTTCTCTTTCAAATCCAATTGTAGGACTGAGGTACCAGTACGTGCGCATTACCGTAACTATCTCTGTCACCACTGGTTGTCATTCAACAGGAATGACTTTATTTTTGTTATTAGCTCTTTGACGTTAGCCTGCAGGCTAGCCGGCAGAAACACCGTGACAGTTTCTAATGAACGGCGGGAGGACGTGGCAAAGTAAGAGCAGAAAATAGAGCCACTTTACCGCAGTCCGCCGCGTACTCTTCCCACTCGGACAGTGAGCTGCAGCCCTGCTTGTGGAGCTCGCTGTTGAAGAGGGTCAGGGTGGAGAAGAACTCGGTCGAGAGCACGGTTCGGCTCAGACACAACAGTAAGAGCGCAGGCACAACAGGAACCCTGCCAACAGGGGCCATGTTGTTGATATTTATCGTGTGTGACGCCAGCGAGCAGCGGAAGCACACCGCCGTCCACGGGCAGGAGTTTCACCACAACCGCCGCCGAATGAAGCTGCGGTGCAATTCAACTACAATGAAGCGTCAACTCCACGTCCCGACGTGCACCGCGGCTGTCAAACCTGATTTTACACAAGGAAGTTAGGTCACAGTGGTGTTCGCAAGTTACACCATTCAAAGTAAAAGAATGAGCTATGTTCCTTGTTGAGTTGTAAACGTTGTATTATATTTAAATGTGCTGGGCTATATTATGCACATATATATTTCAACTGTCCTTCACGCATACCTCTTTTACTGTGAGTCGTTAAAGTAGTGGTGTCTTAATGACAGAGAATATATTATGCATACTTTTATTTTGAAGAAGCATCTTTATGAATGAAACAACATCACTTCCGGCTACAACAAGCCTTCAGCCGGTGTTGTTTACTGTGTAAATGATGGACAAAAATGTCTTCCGTTGCGTTGAATGTAACGAACAAGCCACAGAGCTTCACCGGGACTACAGCAACGGGATCCTGACGATCACTATATGCGTACGTTTCAATGTCTTCCTGTGTAAATTTGCGTTTACCTGTTGAAAGCTAACGAGCCGAGCAGCACCAAAACAAACCTCCTGTTCATGTTCAGTCACGGCTGTGTCTGTTTTTCAGGGGTCCTGCCAAAAGCCTGTGGATAAATACATCGAGTACGACCCTGTGATCATCCTGATTGACGCCCTTCTATGCAAGACCCAGGCTTTTAGGCACATTTTGTTCAACACCACATTGAATGTAAGTTACTGTACCACGTGACCTTTAGCTGCAAACTGCAGGCATTGTACCAGTGGACACACAGTAGCTGTGTTACGGTAGATGAGGGAGGAATCTAATGTTTATTCTGCAGCAGTGAAGATTTGAAGAAAGATAATTTCTTAAAATTATTGTGAGGATTTGCTGGGGAAAATCCATTTCCCTAATTAAAGATCTGACTCTGGGATCATCTGAGCATCATCTGTGCTGTTGTTGTCTCTCCTCCTTTTCCTCCTCCTCCTTCCAGATCCACTGGAAGTTGTGTGTGTTCTGTCTGCTCTGTGAGGCCTACCTCCGCTGGTCTCTGCTGCCGGGCTCCGAGCAGAGCAGGGACCCCGCTGACATCATCAGGTACACGAAGGAGTGGGAGTTCTACGGCATGTTTGGATTGGCTGCCCTGGGTAAGAGGTCACGGCTCTTCAGTCTCATCAATCGAAACACTTTTATTTTTTTTAATTTTAAACTTAGAACTTTTGGTTGTGTCACTCCTGCAGAGCTGGCAGCGTTCTGTACCAGCGTCCTCCTCTTCCTCTGGTTGGTGGTGGTCCATGTGCAGCACCGGAGCCTGGACTTCAGTCTCCTCCTCCGGGCTCTGCTGCTCTCCTGCTACGGGAAAGTCCTAGTGATCCCAGCTGTCATCTGGGAACACGACTACTCCCCCCTCTGCCTGAGCCTCATCAAACTGTTTGTGCTGACCTCAAACTCCCAGGCCATCAGAGGTAGAGGGGCAGTCTGTAGAAAACACTCACCTGTTTATCATATTCACACTGCAGTGAACCGACGGTGTGATGAAGATGAAGATTGGCCACATGGTGCTGACAGGGCCTGTTTTTTCTCCCTTGTCTCTGTGCAGTGATCCTGAACAGCAGTCGACGTCTGTCACTGACGGCCGTGTGTGTCGGCCTCCTGTCGGAGACCTGCACGGCTCAGGTGTGTAGAAGACTTCAGCAGAGCGTCCAGGACATGTTGACCTGAACCTGTGCTCCGACCAACGCAGATAAAAAAAATCTCTAATCTCTGGCGTCAGCGACTGACATGTCAGTGTGGAAATCAACCAGAGTCGAGGTGAAGCCTGAGCCTCGGGAACATGGAGGGTTTTTTGGGGGTGGATTTGTGCTTTTGTTTTGATCCTGGACTATAGGAAGAAGAGTTAGGAACCATGGCAGAATAAAGAACTGTTTGGTCATGGTGGTTACACTCTCATTAACAAGAGTAAAGAACTGTTTGGTCATGGTGGTTACGCTCTCATTAACAAGGACAGAAAGTGAGGAACTGCAGATCAAAACGTTGGAGATGCACTTTTGTTTAAATCTAACATTTAAAATGGACTCTGACTGTGATTATTTGGTTATTAAGGAGGATTAGGGATTACAATAAAGACGTAATTGACTTTGTAAATGTAATTTTATGAACATATTTTTTGTACAATTGAATTAGAATCACCTTTAGTGAAAACAAATGATTTCCTTTGTCATTTTCCCTGTTTAAATAAAGTTTTGTATAAATGACTGACACACTTGTTGTTGTTGGATTTGGACAAACTTTTAGAGAGAAATTTTTACACAATTTGACAATTAGCTTTTTGATACCAGTTATTTTTACAATACTATTTCGAAGTATGCGGAAAGTATTGCATTTGCTGTGGACTGACTGTGTACCACAGAGCAGTCCTGAATATTTGGGAGGGGTGTGTTTCTGTTGGGTGCATAAATCACGACGTGGTAAATGGATGTGTTCACTGAGTCGTCCCCGCGACGAACAGAAAAATGAAACGCTCGCCACCGGACGACGGGAAGAAAGGAAGGAGTTCAGTCCTCAACAGAGTTCTCGCAGATCTACCTTCACATTGATTTGTGTATGTGCGTGTGCACGAGGCTGCATGTCACTGCAGGCCTGTGAATAGCTGAGGATACAGCATATAGATGTGGAATGCGTCCTCGCCCTGGGTGGACCCTGATCTGTCGCTGAGTGACGGCAGAACATTCTTCAGGAAGTGTTTGTTTGTTTTTCACAGTGTCAAAGAAAAAACAATGAAAAGTGAACACTGAAGCCAACATAATCCCTGGGATTAACATCTTGACATGGGATTATGCTACAGTTTTCTGGGTGGTTGTTATTAGAATGACTTCAAGTCTGTTTCTACACTACACAGTGTTCTGCTGAACTTTACTTTTCTGACTTATTTTTAGTCATTTTGTAGCCTAACATTTTGAATAAAGGCTGTTTCTGGACTACATTTAGGGACAAAATATCAGTCAGCAAACCTTTAACACTGCAGGGTTTTATTCACCCTTTTTTCTGTCCCACAGAGAAACAGTGGTTATTTCCTACTTAGCTTTGTTGTTGTTTGCTCTGATGTGAAAATCCACTTCCTGTGGGGAGAGTGATGCTCACCTTGGATTAGTTTGCTGGGAGCAGATTATAGTAATCTGCTCTAATCCCCTAACAGAGACCAGAGCAGTGAGAGGGGAAGTAAAAATAAATAAATAAAAATCTATATAAAAAAATATCCAACCTCTTAGGAACTTGAGTGCCACCTAGTGATCCTCCTGTTTTATCCAAATTGCATTTTTTAGACTGTTCATATTAGTCTAATTTTTTATTATTTATTTTACTTGATGTCAACCATTTTAATTAAGCAACTTGGGGGGAGGAGGGGGAGAATTCTACAGGTGAGTCGTAGTATAGTCGGCCTTTATTTTAGTGCTGCTGTGGTTTATTTAATTATCTGGCCAAATATTGACCAAAGGCCAACGAGTGAAGTCAATTATTAAATCTTTTAAAGTGATGGCAAGTGAAGTCAATTATTAAATCTTTTAAACCTGCATGTGGTTAAAGTGATGGCGTCGATGAACAAGTCATGAAAAACAGGCTGTTTCTTCCTGGACAATCTGACCTTGAACACAGTGTTTGATCTGCAGCGGTCAGTGGATTTTCACTGACTCTGTTGGAACATTGGAATGATCAAATGTTTGTTTGTGTCTCGGTGAGGCCAGGAGAAAAACTAATACTTTAAAAACGTCCTACCTTGTAGACGATCCAGATCTTCAACCGTCCTCCGTCACAGCTCAGACCTGGACCGTCCTCTCTGTCCGGGGGCTGCGGGTTCTGGTCGTGCTCCTCTTCCTGGTCTGTGTGGGTTCCAGGTCAGGTCGTGGCAGGTGAGGCTGGAGCCTTGTTTCCTCCAGGGTGTGACCACTCCGGCCCTGCTTCCTTCTCCTGCTGCTGACCACAGCTCAGTGCTGCTGCCTGTGGACGGTCTGTTGACAGTCGACTTTTCTCACCACTTCCGGTGGTCACATCTGGGCCTGCACTCCACATCCAAGACCATAAACCCCACATGTTAAATCACATGTGGTCACATGACCTCCAGTCTGTCCATCTGTAGTTCACATGTCAAAGGTTAAAGAGGAGTTAAAGCTGAAGAGTTAACACAATTAAAACACTCATTCATTAACAATGAACTGAACATGTACTGAAAAAGCAGTAAAATTCACGAGAGCAGTTGTAGTTTTTTTGCCTCAGTAAATACACAAATATACTTTTATAGAAGTATAAAATATATCCAGCTTCTAGACCAAAGTATTTACACTTATACTTAGTATAATAGTCAAATTTAAAAGTGCCCTTGAGGCATGTTTACAGAACCACGTATTTACTCATCAGTACTGCTTATTAGGAGATCTTTCTTGCTACGCCCCCTGTTGTGTTTTTATTTTCGCCACACGAGAATCTGGGAGATGATTACAGTGGAGCCAACCAGCGACATTCACCTGTCAGTGAAGATAATGAGTTATTGGTTATTTACACTGGGGCGTGAACACACACACACACAGTGTGTGTCACTGCTGAACTGGTTCATCATGTTTTCATTTAAATATATTTTTTGGACTTTTTATAGAAACGTCCTACCTGCTCTACATCTAAAAAAATATTCTTAAATATTTTTTACTACAATGTGTCTGTTTTTTGGACTTTTTATAGAAACGTCCTGCCTGTAAAAGTATTCTTAAATATTTTTTACAACAATGTGTCTATTTTTGAAAAGAAGGAAATCAACTCCAAAATCTGCAAAGTATGGAATCACTTTATTAAATGATCCTCAGTACGATGAGAGTGAGAGAGAAGCCCAGTCCAGAGAACAGTAGTCGGTCGTTCAGAACTACAGTCACAGTCACACAGTCCTGGTACTTTTCCTTTCACACCAGGTACATCGAAAAACGTTTCTTTTAACTCGAGTGACTGAATGAAATGACTGGTATACAGTATAAATATGAAGTAAGACACAGAAATAAAGACAGATTTAAATGAAGTCAACTGCTGTGGTCCAGAGAAAAACATCACTTCTACACAAAGATATGTTGTTGTTGGTGGTGGGATTTTTTTTTAGGCTTTTTGAGGCTTTTTTTAAAGGAAGTTTTCAGTCGACTGCGACTCTGGTGTTCTCCTCCGACACCTGCTCGTTAAATACCATCATCTCTAATCAAGTCATTTTGAGGGGAAGCCTCTTTGTTTTTTCATTTCTGGGGCAGCCACTTCCAAATCCTCCTTCCTCTAAATTTCTCCCACAGTGCTTCCCGACAACCAAAAAACAAAGAACCCAAGGATGTGTGACGTGACCTCACATCCCTGTGGCTGCACTGCATTCTGGTCAACTGAGGCCACCGTGGGTAGAAAAAAAATCACAATGTGATTGTTAACAATTGGTGCAAACAGACGGTTGGGATAAATCCACAGAAGGAACGTCTCGTCACAGACGACTGACAACAGATTCATGCAAATGGAAAAGAAAAAACAAAACAAAAAAATACATCACATTACAAGTGTGTACATGTTCTTTCAAATATATATTCTTAACGAAAATAAAAGTGAAATATTTTCTAAATCAGAACAGAACAAATATCACATTTTATACACAGGTTCGCCGTCGTAAAAGTGAAATTAAAGGTGACGTGACCTTCAAACAAACATCAAACATCCAGTTCCACGTCCGACAAAACAGAAACAGGATCTGGATCTACACCACGCTGGTGTTCATCCTCAGCTGAGCTGGATTAGGTTTTTAGTGCAGGAGTGGATTAAACACAGGCACACACAGACCAGGCCAGAGACTGGAACAACATGGATTAGGGATTCTGTAAAAAACATTTGGAGGGAATTCCAACATTATTTAAAAGTTTTCTGCTTTCAAATCTGCATTTCTTTTTTTTAAAGCTGCAGAAACGTGTTTGATCTGCAGGGTTTTTTAAGGCACACGATGTGTCAACATCCAATAAAATATTTTTTTTTTCATCATTTTAAACACCATCACTTAGGTCGAGTGTCTCAAATAAAACAGTTTGAATTGACGTTTACTTTCAAATAATTGTATAACATTCAACAGAAAATGTGAGCATTTTACTGCACAAAGGCTGACGAATTGATTCTTTTTTCAACATTCAATTCCAGATTCACTGACACAGTAAATGTTGGATAAGTACCTGGAACTGTTGCTGATTAAATCATGACAAGTGGAGAAAAAAAAAACCCAAGCAGAATCAAGGCCAATCACAGACTTTGGTTACGTGTCAATCCGACCGGTTTTGTTAATGCACGTCATTTTATGAAGAAACACGCAGCGTTTTACAAAAGTACCCTGTTATCCTGGTGCCAGCTGATACTAGCTGCAGAGGTCACAGCATGGTGTTTGCATTGGTTTCTTAGTCCTTTAAATTACCGTAAAAAAACTACAAAGCCTAAGGCTGATATGAGTATAATATAATACGCCGTAAATACTTGGATCACAGAACCTAAAACTGCTCCTGCACATACTTTCATGTTATATATTTCAGCTCACACAGGGTTGCACTGCTTGCTTGCAAACAGCAAAATGTAAGCGTTATTATTAATTTATGTAGAACGTACTGAAGGCCTACAGCTGTCAACTTCCTTGAGGATTTTAAGGGTCATTTTTATGACATTCAACCAAATAACTGTTTGGTTTTGGTGGTGTTCTTCAAGGTGAAAACCTCGTGTTGAAAAGTCAAAATTGGGTGTAGATCAGGGGTGTCGAACTCATTTTGGTTCAGGGGCTGCACACAGCCTAATCAGATGTGAGGTGGGCCGGACCAGTACAATAATAAATAAGTCCATGTTTTTTCCCTTTTGTTTTTATGCAAAGAAGTACAATATATTAGATTTTAACAAAACATATCATGAACATGAAGTGTTTGTGTTTTTCCAAATTCATCCAGCGGGCCTGACTGAACACCTTAGTGTGCCAGATTTGGCCCGTGGGCTATATGTTCGACACCCCTTCACTAAATATTTTCTTTCTGATTTAGCTCAAAGCCAACACAAACACACGCACGCAGTGGAAGTTTGTTCAAACAAACACTGATGTAACAAACAGAGCTAAGTTGTACGTGTCTGTACTCAAACCTATTGAGGAAAAAAGAAGATGTTTATATTTATATTATATGTAATAAATAATAAAACTTTGTTCATAGTAAATCTTGATTATGTAGAAAAGCAGAGAGAGATAGAGACTGGTTAGCAAAGCTGCTGGACACAGAGGCAGCAGCTGCAGCAGAGAAGTGATAACAAAGTGAATATATACACACACATTTACTGCTTATACTGTATATTTATATATTTATATTGCCTAATTCTGAGTGTAGTGTCAGGAGTCAGTGTTTGTAATGCATCTTCACTCCTGAGTGTTTGAGAAGCTCAGCTCCACAGTCTGGTCACGCTGCCAGAGACGTCCTGCAGGAGGAGCAGGTTCACGTGTCACCTGAGGAGGAGCAGCAGGAGGAACAGGAGGAACACAGGAGCTGGTGCTTTACTTTAAGGCCTGTTTTTGTTTTCTGGTTTTTTGTTTTTGTCGTTTGATGAAGAGACACCAGGAGCTGATGTTCTTCCAGCAGAGCGCTCCGATCTCAGAGCCTCTCCTTTATTTTCCAGCTCCACTCCATCAATCCGTTGCTCGCCAATTTAAAAAAAAGAGCCCAAAAGAAGAAAGCCAGAACAGAGCCTCAGATGTTGATGCGGAAAGACTCCCAGCTGTCCTCTTTGCCGCTGCTGCGCCCATTCTTGGCCGTGGTTGCCGTCCCGTCTCCCATCTCCCCGTCCGCCTGTTCTCCCGTTGGAGTGGCGCCAGGCTCGGTGTAGAACTCGTCGTCCTCGTCGAAGTAGCCGTTCTCTATCATGCTGAGGCTGGAGGCGGCGCTCAGGTCCTGGCAGCTGCCCTTGTACTCCTGGATGGACTCGTGCAGGGACCACAGCTGGCACAGCAGAGACATGTCCTGCTGACGCAGACCCACCTGCAGGGGGCAGACCCAGGAGTGGGATTATTGCGAGTTAGTAACACATCAGATTGTGATGATAATTGCTGCCTCTATGAGGCGCTGGAGGCAGCTATGTTTTTACATCACATTCCTGTTTTTTAAAGGCCACAGGGCTGAAGAACCCTCTCTGTAAATACCTTTATTCCTAAACTATCAACAGTGATTTCCTGACTTTTGTTTCTAAATCAGAGTTTGTTCCACTATTCCACAACCGCTCAGCTGACACCACACCGCGACTTTGCAGAAAACTGCAGCGTTGACCAGACAGTGGTTGAATGTCCACAAAGAAAGAAAGACTTCAGCACGACAGTTACAAATGCTACGTCTGTGTCAGTGAACACATCACCATTCACTCCATTGTCTGCAACAACTTCACATTGTGCTGCGTCTCAGGGCGAATAAATAAAAACAGCTCATTTTCCCTGGATAACCAAAGAAGGGAGTGTGATCTGTAACCTGAAACAAGGAGCTGAGGAGACACCGAGGGAGACAGAACCCCAAAGACACCAGGATAATAACAACCTGCACATGAACTCAACAATAAAGTATGTTTTGACTGATTCAGCCTGCACAGAAGCAAAAAACAGACATTTCATTGTTCACTGGTTCTTTCATTGTTTTCTGACTTTTAAAGAACCTTCATTGACTTTCTGTCCAAAGGTATAAAAACAATAATCTTCCATTGTTGCCCCGGCAGACGTGGTGATTGCAGTATCAAAGCTGAAATCTGAACCACAGGCAGGATGGAGGGGAGGCTGGGAGGGGGGCGTATTTTCTCCTGCATACCACACAGCTGACAATGTAGCTCTGAACCGGGGGTCACTGCATTGTTTTGCCCCCAAAAATTACAGAGGGCAGACACATACACAAGTTAGAGTCAGGCTAAATAACAGGGAGAAAGAGACGGAGATTCGACCCAGGGCTTTGTGAGAATGTGGGAGTGGCTCACAGCTGCTGAAATCCAGCACATTTGACATTTTAGCAACAGAAAAAAAAAACCCACTACAAGCCTAAAGTTTAGTGTAGCTTCCAGGGAGATTACAGCTGTGACATGAAGCAGGAGCTGACAGGCAGAGTTGCTGAAATTCCTACAATATAAAGTTAAAATTAAGGTTAAAGGTCAAAGTAGTTTCCTCTAAAATACTGCAGAAAACTAAAGCCATTAAAAAACAGATTATTATATTAGATTAGTGTGGGTCCAGGTGTGACTGATGTGAAATCCCTGCATGTTGAAATGCAGGCAGATGATCAGTGTGAGGTTGTGTGTCAGGGATTATTGCTATATCTAATGTTTACTTGTGTGATAAGGTAAAAAAAAAAAAGACAAATAACACGTACTGGCTTTATAAAGTTAAAAATTATTCAAATAAATAGACAGGTTTAAAGCAACCCGAACCATGTTTTTTTTGTAATATTAAGTGTGTTCTATGCGGTTTAAAGCAACCCGAACCATGTTTTTGTAATATTAAGTGTGTTCTATGGAAGACTCCATCTTTGAAAATTACATTTTCTCTTACCAATCATACAAACTACATGGTCTTTAGGTGGAAAAGGCCCAACCATTCGGTAAGAACGTGTACAGAATAAAATATGCATTTATTAAGGAGAGAATACTGCATAAGACACTTAGGATTTCTGCAGGATTTCGTCTTCGTGTTAACAACTGATCTACGTAGGCTTTTGTGAAAAGGCACGTTGCACGTGTGCTAAACAACGTGTTAATCTGTACAAACATAGTAATGTAAATAAAAGATACGTGCCGAATTTGCCAAAGGGGTTTGAAGGTGTGAAAAGCACCAGAAAATTTGAAGTAAAAATAGGTATAGTGTGACTAAAGTCCAAACAACGCCAAAGTTCTATACCTTCTTTAGGGAGCCTGGCTGCTAACGAAGCACGTTGGGAATAAACGGCGAAAAAAAAGGTAAAAATGCAGGAGTTCTTTTTGGAGATGTTCTATTAAAACCTTACCATTTCTTTCCGCAGTAGAGCCAGGGCAGCGTCGAGGTTGGCCGGCTTGTTGGCGAGGAGGTTGTCGGTGTTGTTCCTGCCTCGGCTTAGGTCGTCCTGGATCATGGTTTTCTTCACGTACATCCTCTCCATTTCTCTCCAGGAGCCGCCGCTGGAGTTCAGTAAACCGCTCAGGCTCTTCGGCAGCGGCGGTAGACCCTCGATACAGGCCATTCCTCCAGCCGTGCCGTTGGTTGACTTACCGTTCATTGTCGTGTGTGGTCGTAAGGGAATAATAAATAATTCTGTTTTCGCCTCAGTTTAGAATTGAGTCTGAAAACACGACACACACACTGAGAACACAACCGTCTTTAGCTGCATAAACGAGCAACAGCCTGGTTCTGACTGCCCCTGGGCGTCCGCCGGGCAGCGACGTTACTGCGTCAAGGTAGACGTAAGGACGTCATTACACATCCGGTTTTATCACTGCATTGTCAGTGACAGAACAAATAGGATAAAATGAAAATATCTATAGGAGTTAATTGAGGTGTACCTTTTAACCGACTTACTTTTAATGTATGTTTTATAAGTTACCTATATATCAGTATTGTATTTAGGTATCTTGGATTGGGAGCCGTTATAAAACTTTTATTTTGAAATTAAACCTTTTATCCTGTCTTGGGTATATTGTTAACTTGACTTTTCCCGTCCCTTTAACCCAGTGACTTCTGGGCGTCTCCCATCAATCACAAGCGAAAAGGAAGTTTTTTTTCTTGTTTGTCACAATCGATCACACATTTAAAATAAAATGTTTTCATTTTCTGATAACGTCTTATGTTGATTATGATTAAATTGTCAAGTGAATTAACACAGAACACAAATACATTTTGAAGTTTGATTCTGTTAAATGTTTGTGATTAAATTGTCAAGTGAATTAACACATAACACAAATAACACATTTTGAAGTTTGATTCTGTGAAATGTTTTAACCATGTCTTTGACTCAGGTTTGGTTGAATGGAAAATTTGTTTCGGTTTGACTACTATAAAATACACAGATATTACTCTCCAGAGAGCAGACAGCAAGGTCCGAGGTCACGAGAGGTATGTGTTTGTCTGGGTGTGCGTGTGCCAGACAATTGTTTGAGTATAAAGGACAGATGGTGTGTCCCCCCCTCCTCACACACACACACACACACCAGCCTGCAGGCCGGACATGACAATAACAAAACAATAACCTTGAAACCGACCCACAAAAGGATCACACCTCATCTTCACAAAGAGATGAACATGTGTGGAAACACACACACACACACAGTCAGATCCTGGAGCCCTGAAGTATTAGAGAGTAAAAATAGATGAATTCTGACTCATTTTCTTATGATTCAAATTCAATCATCTAATACTGCAGTACTTCACAAAATAAAACTGAAAAATTAGAAACAGATAATGAACACAAGTATCTAACGACGGTGAGGTCGGGTCATCCTGGAGACCACCCAGCTCCAAAACAGCCTGCAGTCTACCAGGCAAAGGTTCAGGGTAGAGGTAGCGCCACCCAGAGCACAGGCAGAGTAACAAAAGAAGAAAAAAGGAAGCTACGCCACGTAGAGGTGAAAGAGAGACATAACACTTCAAAGAGGGTGTTAGGCGCAGAGGTAGAGCAAGTTCTTCTTTCTGACATGTTTTAATTGAACACAAGTAGTAGGTTAGAGTGGGACAATGAGGGACAGCAATCATTTAACCAACACCCCTCACCCCAAAATAATCTTGATTCTTTCACATTTAAAATTAAATAATCAGATAAGGCAAGAAAAATCTTGATTCTTTCACATTTAAAATTACATAATCAGATAAGGCAAGAACAAAATATGACCTGATATAAAACTAAACAATGTCAGTGTAAACAGGTCTGTGTAGAAACAACAACTCCTGTGGATTATATGAACATCTGGAAGCAAAACATGTAAATAATTAAAAAAAAAACCCCAAGTGTCACTAAGTGTTTGCAACCAGGATCCAGCAGGTGGCAGTCCAACAGCATTTTTCAGCACTATGGACAGCACGTTTCTGAAACACATTGGTAGAAAAAAAGCAAATGTTAAACCCTAGGCTGTAACAAGACACAATGAACTCTATACATCTGTGTGCAGAGTGACCCTTGACCCCAATCTCTCTGGAGATCTGAGATTTTCTGCAGTGGGTTGACCGACGTCACTCCAAACACACGGAGGAACTGTGCAGAATCATACAGTCATCTAAAGAAAACCAATGATCCAACAGACACTTCTCCTCCTCCACAGACTGTTTTTCTTTCTCACAAGTCTTCACAAGAAAACACACCTTTCCATCTTTTACTGTTTCCTTTCGTCCATCCTTCCCTCCATCCATTCGTGTGGAATGGAAAGAAATGAGGAGGGAGAGAAGTTAAAAAAAAAAAACAATCAATGAGGAGCGAAGAGACAGAAACCTATTTCCTGGATGAAATCCGACCTGCTCTGATGGATGAGATGAGTTTTCGTCCTCCTGCTCACTCTTCATCGGTCCTCGTCTTTTTGTTTCCTTCTCTCTATTGCACTTTTCTAGTCCACTACAGTGTTAACATGTGCAGAATGTCAACAGAATGATGTGACGGGACCTGGTGATTAACTCTGTGACCAGATTACAGTCGGTCCAGACTCAAAACAGATGTTCCAGTAAATACTCAAAAATAAAATAAAAAACAAATAAAATCAAACAGCCTTCAAATACTCCAAAAGAAGTGTTTCATGAATGGGCTCTCAGGAATACAAAAACATACATGTACAAAGTATCAGAGCAGCGTTGCCATGGAGACGAGGGCCACTTTACAAGTCCTCACCAAATCAAAGCAAAGAAAAGAAAAAGGAGAACAGCCTCCGTTCACCTGTTCACCTCATGGTCTGCAAACATATGGCTCGTGGGCTGGTTGCTGTCCGCCAGCTGACCGTTTAAGGGCCACTGTTTTATGTTTCTGAACCTAACTTATTACCAGTTAACTTTAAGGGTGTGAAATATGAAGAAGTAGAATCTGATCTCACAGTATGATTATTAATTAATGAATTACTCATAACCAGTTAATTTAGTCCAAAACTTTCAGACATTGCAGCGATATATGTTTAACAAATGTTAGAAGCATTTATTTCTATACTATATATAAGAAAAAAAAGATCAAAACAACAGAGAGCCGTATGTGACACTGCTATATTTATGGAGGGAAAAGTAATTAAATTATTGCGTTAGATGAATGTGTTTGACCTTATTTACAGTGAACATTTATATTCCGTAATTAGACCTGACATTTCAAGGTAATTAAACAAAGCAGTGTATTTTCAGCAGCTCCATACATCACACCTCACGGAATCAACTAAATTAGCTTTTTTTTCCTTTGTTTTTTTTTTTTTTGGTCTTTTGCAGGAGGCTCATAATTCCGGGCCCGTCGTCATGGTCACTGCTGTTCTTCATCGACGCCTTCACTCCATCACCGAGGTGGATTTATGTTTATGCTGACCAAGCGCTTCCATGGCGCTCGCCACACCAAATCAAATGTCACGCCATCGCATGGGCATTAATCACTGACACACACACACACTTTAACAGGCGTTAAATCAAATGAGTTCCATGAACAGTCGCTACATTAGTTCAGATGAACAGTATCTCAGGTTTGTTGTTAATGTTGACGTTCCTGTCCTTAAAACATCATTTTAACATCACTGATTTAATAAAAACTGATTGTTCTAACTGTCCAGGGTCTGACCCCAGCCTTCACCAATGATTGGCTCTAGATCAGGCGTGGCCAAACTTTTTTAACTCGCGGGCCACAGTGGATCTGGGGGGCCGTGCCAGGAGCCGTAGTTTGCCCATGTCTGCACTAGGACCACAAAAAAGGGGGGAAGCAGTAGAACAAAAAAATGAACAAAAAAAATTGTTTTGATTCAGAGACATTAGTTCTGTGGACACTTGTGGGAAATGTGTTTCTTTGTGTAAAAAGACGTCACATGAACTGGTGGACTTGACTTGGTCCACCTGTATGGACTGCAGCCATGATCCGTGCTGGAGATGGAGAAGCTCAGTGATGACAGCCTCCTCCATCCTCCCCTCTGTCCTCCACTCCTCCCATG